GCAGCAGCAGCTTTTTTGCATTGACTTTCGAGCCTGAGGTGGGACTGGTGGAGCATCATCTTCGCCGTCGTCTTGAACCGCCGATGGATAGTACGGCAAGTAGAGCATTGGGATCGTGTCGTACTCCTTCTAAACGCTTTAGGGTTAGGTTTAAGAACTGTCCGACCAAGTCGAGAGCACGAGTCAAAACACGAAGCCAATCGCTATCAGGCAGGGTGCTATACGGCAACAGACTGTGAAGCTTCGTGTTCAGCCGCTCACGTAACGTTCGTCTTCTGACTGCTTTGACATCACGACAACTGATTTTCACGCACCAACACCACCACCACCCCGCAAGATTTTCTGACCGGTTGTGAATTACGGTAAAATAATAAATTGCAACAAAAAAAAGTATTCCGCGCACCACCGCTTTACCGCCAATACATTCAAATAGAAATCAGAGCAAAAGCATCCAAATAGTATCCAGAGCAAAACAACTGCACGCCATGGTCACGTACAAGGCCCAGCGCCATCGCATATCACAGGACAAGCACTGGCATATGGCGCCCGATCGTTGGCAGCTGTTCAAATCAGTGGGTCTGCACCTGCTCAAAGCTATGGAACAGCGCTGACTTCTTACCCTGACTCGTCCGTTTACACACGACGACAACAAATATTCACCTTCGGTATCTGGTGATGTTTTGGTAACTTTTAATTTGAATTATTTGTAAAAGGAATATTTCCTAACCCAATCAGTTTCAAGGACAATGCTTATATTATCATAGTGTGTTTTTTGTTTGCATTTTGACCACAGGTATTGTGGTTAATGCACACATGATTCCTTGTAAAAAGTTTCAGTTTTGTTGCCAGAAAAAATGGGGAAAACCCTATTATTAGAACTAGAAATGCGGTTATGTTTGTGCACTGTTGTCAATTTATTTAGTAATGCAATTGTTTTTGTACCAATTTCTGTTTGGGTTCATATTCTTGGTTCTTTCGGTAAAGTCACGTAAAAGGTAAATAATAAAATAATAGAAATAAAACAAATTTCTCACGACGTTTCGATTGCAACACATCAGGTGTGAAAACCACAAGGCCCACAGGACAAGCACTGGCATATGTGACTAGGCCTCGGCAAGGTAAGGTAATTTACCTTTTTTACAGGGTAAAAGGGTAAAGGTAAAGGGTAAAGGTGTCGACATACCAAGGAGTAAGGTAAAGGGTATGGTAAAGGTAGCTCGGAAGAATTACCCTGTATGGTAAAGGTAGCGCGAAGTATTACCCGGTAAATATGGTACCTTGTTTACCGCTAAAAGCTCCGTGGCGCAGTCCGTGGCCTCCATTTAATAAGTGATATTTTTTAAAAACTTTTTAAAAAACACGCTTTTATGAAATGTACCGTACGAGTAATGGCAGAACTCCACGACTCCAGGAAGTGGCCCCGAAGCTTGCCACAACGTAAGGGGGCCGTGGTGATTTACAGCCAATGTTAGTTGACCATGGATAATTAGACCCAAGCCGAAACATAACATATAAAAAAGAATGTTTAAAAATATATACTTTTTATGATAGAATATAGTAGTGTCATCAGTATGACATAAGTATACCAAGTTTGCAGTCGATACTACATTGGGAAGTGGGTTAAAATTGAGTTACAAGATTTGAGGATACAACACCGACAACAACAGAGTGAGTTAAAAGAAAGCGTGTAAAATTGGAATAATCGAGAGTATTCTACGTGAATAAAGCGATCTACCTAGCATTTACCTGTTATAAACCTTTTTCATGTGTAGTAGTACCCCAGTAATTACCCTGTAATTGGGTAATATGTATGGGCTGAGTAAAAGTTAGGGTAAAGGTAGGCTCATTTTTACCTTGCCTTGCCGAGGCCTATATGTGACTTTACTGAAAGAACCCAGAATATGAATACCTGCAGTCACGAAAGCTTTAAATCGAAATTCTATTTGGGTGTTTTAGCTATGATTTCTGTTTTGATATTTTGCTCTGATTTCAATTTGCTTCATTGTCGATCATCATTTAATGTTATTGTTTTTCCCGTTTTGGTCACTCAGGTCACTCTTGCAAATGAGTCTATCCTCGTCTCTTTCATTGCTCACATATTTAAACTAATTGAGCTTTGTACGGTTGCTTTTTCATCCATTCATATGAGTTGGATCTGTCCCACAAGCAGCGAAAGAAGCTGATTCATTAATAAGCTCTGATTCATTGATATTATCGGTTAATATTTGTCATGAATGGGCTGGGTGGGAGGGTGTTGCAGCGGTAACACTGTGCCTTACAAAAAGCACTCTTGGGGTTGACTTCCCCGACTCGAACAGCTTTCTGTATGTTCTATGTGGAGTTTGTATGATCTATGTGGAGTTTGTATGTTCTATGTGGAGTTTGTATGTTCTATGTGGAGTTTGTATGTTATATGTGGAGTTTGTATGTTCTGTATGGTGTTTGTATGTTCTCCACTGGTTCTGCTTGGGTTTCCTCCGGGCTCTCTCTGGCCCCCTCCCCCATCGCTAACACACGCACAATGTAATTGCTATTGGCCAAACATTCCATTGCTGAAAATTCCCCATGCAAATGACTGAATTGGGATTATACACAGCAGCAACATCACTCCCACCTAAGACCCTCCTGAAAGACAGTCTTGAAACTCTTGAGAGGCTTTCTTGGGTAAACGAGCAGCAGAATAATAATAGAAATAATGAAAATAAGATCTTGTGTACTCGTTTGGTTTGCGTGTTTTTTTGATCCACTGATGTGACCGCGTCGCGCCGGCCGGCATGGTGTTCGGTGCGCGACCGTACAGGGCCCTGCTTCGGGGGCTCTTGGACTCGGGGCAGCTCGAGGGCGAGAAGGGGGGGGGGGGGGTCCCGGCTGTTCAGAGCCCCGGCCTATTTATACCCCCCGAGTGTGAATAACGCGCGTCGAAAATACCGCTTTAAAAATACCCAAATGGCGAGTAACAGTTGGCTGTCTGGAATGCTGAGCTGTGTGTGATGGCTGTGTTTGCCAAACGTATTAGCATTTTTACTGTTGAGCAGGCTGCCGGCTGGCTGGTTTGCAGGGCACATCATGGCTATGTCGCTGAGCATTGGTCTAGCACCGTTGAGGTCCTGGGGTTCAGTTTTAACAGCCACCTATGGTTAAACCAGGTTCTCCAACCCCGCGAGTTGATGGCCTCAGCCTAGAGCTCGTCACCCACTCTGTAACCCAGACCTAGAGTCCTTCACCTACTCTATAACCCAGAACTAAAGCCCATCACCTACTCTGTAACCCATATTTAGAGACCATCACCCATTTTATAACCCAGACCTAGAGCCCATCATCCACTCTATAACCCAGACCTGGAGCCCATCACCCACTCTATAACCCAGACCTAGAGCCCATCACCCACTCTATAACCCAGACCTTGAACTAAACACTGACCTGCTAATCCAGTCCATCAATATATTGTCCATGTGATAACCCTGACTTGGAAGACAATATATAAAGTCCAAAGGGCAAGCCTATAGAAATCCCCTTGGAGCCCAAAGTTGAGTAATTTGTGGGTAATCTTTGCATTTTTAAGATTTGGGCCATGATGCCAGCCACTCAACGCAGGCTTGCTCCTTACAGGCCATGGTGCAAGCGGCATCACGGAGAGACACTCCTCCTCCTGTCGTTCAAACTCTCCTAACCGCTCGCGCCCTGAATCACGTGATAATTTTCTGACAGGGCTTTCTTTTGGAAATGTTATGTTCAAAAAAAGGTTTGTGGTTTTTTAAAGGCATTAGTTTTTACACCCAGAAAGCTGTACGGACGACTTTGGTGGCTCGCGATGGCTGTGTCGGAGGGCTGCACTGGCACTGCCGAGACCACCTGGGTTTGAGTGTAGGCCCAGTCCACGGGACGCCGACTCAGGTTCTTGTGCGGTGTAGCAAATTTTTTGGAGTGGTTGGTGAATCATACTCGGATGATGTGCATTATATTTTTGTACATCGTTTCCCGCACCTCCGATTATCACGGTTGGCTATGTACGGTGCAGGAGGTGGTATAGCAAGTAGATTGTGGATTTCTCTGTGCATATTATCAGCGCTACTTTCTGGTATGTGTTGGTTTCTGTAGTGTGCCCTACTCTCCTACCATTCACGTTATTAGTACTTGAAAAAATTAATAAAAACACTCAAAGCCTTCCTGTGTAAATGTAGAAGTTAGGCTTTGAACAGTTCCACCCGATTGGGATGGCACGAATCAAAAATCACCATCCCCGACTGACAGGTAAATACCCACTTGCAAACCAGGTGCTGATTCACCTCATTACACGCAGGGACAGTTTCCACTGGGGGTGCCCTTTTAGATGCTTGAAATTAAATGAGATATGAGGTGCTTATCGTGAAAAGCACTCTGAGACACCATGGTATGAAGCGAAAAATGAAAAAAAAGTATATTTTTATTCTTTTTCCAATGTGATGAGTGTATCAATCAGCCTCTAGTAGCAGCATTGGTCACATGAACCCAATGGCATACAACAAATACGCATTCAACACAATTGGTACCTACATGCAGTCTTATGCATTCAAGGACAGCATATGCAAAAATAACAGCCACCATTTGCCACTAAGTGACAGTGATGTAACTTAGTGGTGTTAGGTGTTATGGGTTGATCAACTGAGATGATTGACAGATGCACTACCTGTGCTCTCCATTGTGTCAACTTATCCTCTTGGCACTCGGCTCATTGTACTAAGCATCACTTATCGTAGTGAGCGTCGCTCATCGTAGTGAGCATCACCCCTCGTAGAGCAGTAGGAGCAATGCTCCTCCCGCTCTTTGTTGTTGGAGGGCGACTGCCTCCAAGTGCCAAGCAGCATCCTTCACGAACCTCCTCCTCTACATGCGATATTGGAGGATTTGGAGCTGGTTGTAGATGCTGATGACTTACCTGCGGTGTCAAGAGTGTACACGCACACGTGCACGCACTCACGCGCGCGTACTCACACGCCCCACTATTGTGTCCGTGTGCACAGGGGAGCGGAGGTGAATGGGCAGAGCCGCCATGCCTCTGAATAAAAAGCTGGAGGTGTCGTCGGGGACCTTGGTATCCAGCGCGCTGCCCCGAGGTTACCTGGGCTCTGCCGCGCTGCCGCCCGGCGCCTTCCTCCCCGATGGCGGCGCATGTGGATTCCCGCCCCCGGGTGGTGGCGGCGGTGGAAGCGGCGGCGGGGGAGGCGGCCTGCTGTCGGCGCGCGCCGCCCGCCTCTCAGGGGCCCTGGGCCCCGGCTACCACCTGGGCCACCTTCCCTTCGGCATCGGCGTCTCGAGCGCCGCCGCGGCCGCCGCCGCTGGTTACCTCATCGACGGCCTCAACCTGTGCTACCCGAGCGGCGCCGGCATGGGCGGCGGAGCCGGCGTACTGATGAGCGGGTTGGCAGTGCCGTGCCCACTGGGCGGCGTCCTGGCGGTGGGCGCGCACGCGCGGGCGCGCGGCAGCGACGAGGTGCGACCACGAGACTCTCCCGCGGCACGAGCGCTCTCCTCCTCGCCGCTGCGCTCCCCTTCGTCGTCCTCCTCCGCCTCCTCCGCCTCTTCCTCCTCCTCTTCCCTGTTGCTGTCGGCGACGTCGCCGCCCGCATCGTCGTCGTCGCACAAACCGCCGCACCACTCGCGCGGATGTGACGCGCTCAGCCGCAGCTTCCCGGGAGGGTCGCTGTCGCGGGCGCTGCGCGAGGCGCGGCAGGGAGCCCCTGGCCGGCGTCTCGGCACCACCGCCATCATCCTGGACGAACCCCCATGGCTCTCCTCCGACGACGAACTCGGCGACGCCTACTTGGTGGCGCGGGGATTGAGCCGCAGCTTCCCGGGCGGCGAGCTGGCGGGGGCGCTCCGCCTGGTGCGCTCGGGGGAGGGGTTGGGCGACGGCGCGGGGCCCCCCGCGCTGCCCCCACCACCGCCCCCCCCACCGCACCCCAGCGAGGCGCGACTCCGCTCCGCGGAACTGCGGGCTCCGCGGGACCGGACGGCATCGTCTTCGGATGGCGCCGCCGCTGCCGCGGGCCTCAGCTGGAGCTACCCTGAGAGCAGCCTGTCGAAAGCGCTGCGGGAGGCACGTCAGGCCGACGCCGAGGAGCCGTTTGGCAGTGGTGGTGGCGACGCGAGCACCCTGAGCTGGAGCTACCCCAGCGGAGTGTTGTCGCGCACTTTGCGCGAGGTTTGCGGAGAGAGGCGTGCCGGTGGTGCCGGTGGTGCCGGTGGTGCCGGTGGTGCCGGTGGTGGCGGCAGCGCTCACACCCCTGTGGCTGGCGTGCATTCTGCGGTGCCTCCTGCCCCAGGTTCGCCGGAGCGAGGGCAGCCGCGGCGTCGCGGCGCAGGGGCGGCAACGCGGGGGCCTGGGAGGGCGCGTGGCGGCCGAGGGGGTGTCGGCGGTCATGCGTCGGGGGCCGGCTCCGCTCGTGCCACCCGCGGGGGTGCCGGCGGGGGTCTGAGCAGGAGCTACCCTGGCAGCACGCTGTCCAAGGCGCTGCAGCATGCGCGAGGCTCCGGCGGCGGCCAGGGTCTGTGTGCCAGCACGGGCAGCCTGCCGTCGGCCACAGGGGGCGGGCGCGGAAGCCGGGGCGGGCGGCACGGGGGCGGAGCGTCGGCGTCCACGGCGGCGCCCGGCGGCGGCGGTGGAGGCCTCGAGAGCGAGGACGAGGAGCTCACCAACCTGGACTGGCTGCACGAGAGCAAGAACCTCCTGCGCTCGCTGAGCCTGGTGGGTGGCGCGGGCTCTGGCGGGGGAGGCGGTGTGACCGGCGGGTGCAGCGGGGGCCTCCTGCTGCGCTCACTGAGTCCGCTGCGCGACGCCAGTGCTGGCGGCTCAGGAGCCACGCCGCCGCCACTGCTGCCGTCGTTCCCCGGGTCGCCGGAGCATGGCCACGGCGGGGGCGCCGGCTCAGGCGGGGGTGGGAAGCCCCCCTACTCGTTCAGCTGCCTCATCTTCCTGGCCATCGAGTGCTCGGCCGGCAAGCGACTGCCCGTGCGCGACATCTACAACTGGATACTGGAGAACTTCCCGTACTTTGCGAGTGCTCCCACGGGCTGGAAGAACTCCGTGCGACACAACCTTTCGCTCAACAAGTGCTTCCGCCGGGTGGAGAAGGATCGCAGCCAGGTGAGGTGTCCCCACACACAGAGCCCCCTGCTGCCGCACACAAGTCAAAGGTCCCCGTTTAGCTTTGAGCAGACTGTTGGGGCAAGTACTGTTAGCGTGCAGCACTTTTAAATCTAGATTTAAAACTAATTTCTTTAGAACTGCTTTTTGTGTTTAGCTTCTTGTCCTTCCCCCGCACCTCCAATTAGCACGGTTGGCTACCTACATTGAGAAATCAGTTCAACATACATACAAATATCCCTATGAAGGCCTGCACAGCACACGAAGAGGTAAGTGGCCAAGACCGTGCCCGGCCACCTACCTTCATCTCCCCAGTGCTCATGTTTACACACAGCAACGGGTACTCATAGACAGCTTAGGAGTGGTTCAGATAATCGACACCGATGTTGGCTGTGAGCGGCAATTGAACTTGGGTCGCCAGGTCCTTAGCGCAGTGCACTAACCGCTACACTACCACTCTCCCCACTATGCACATGCACACCAAGACACACCTAGGCAGGCTTGTACCCAGACACAACAGTCCTTTGTAGCACAGCACGCCCTACAGCGTGACGGGCTCACGTATGTAGGTGGAGAACCAAATTTGAACGGAGACGCTCGCATGCAAGACACACTTAACCTTAAGTGCACAAACAGGTCTCCCTCTCAATGGGCTCTGACCTGGCTTCAAGTACAGATAATTGATTTATCGACTCTAACACGCCCAGGCGGCATAAGCGCTCTTAAACCATATGCCCTGACACACACGCAGCTGAACGCGCGTGCGCATACAGACGCACATGCGTGTGCGCACGCACGCCCTCCCACCCCCATTTGACGCGAACATGTGACGCGGTGTGTGATAAGCCTTTTTCCAAATACTGTCGATAAATGGGGTCTCGAGTCGGCGAAAGGAGCGGGGAACACGGTAAACGTTGCGCACGACCTCTTACCCAGGCGTCCTTTTAAGCATCACCTGCCCACAAGCGGTCTATCCCGCACAGCTCCTGGGCGCTCCTCAACCACAGACAACATCCCCCGCCGTTATATCACCATTTTTTCTAGATGACCTGATTGTCCCAGAGCCCTCTTGATTCTTCGCTGCCGAGCCGAGTGAATGTACTGTCGACACAGTTCAATTATTCCTGGGGACTTGGAGTGATTTGTATTCCCGTGCGGAATAAGGATCGCCATTTTTATCTTCGCCTATACTGGTCGCCACCACCGCTGCAGTGTTACGAATACCACTTGGCAATGTCTCGGACCTTTGGAACATGTTGCAGATAAGGCTTTTTGAGTCTTAGTGCCCTCCCGGGCTATCACCAAAATTGTCCGCCCCCTACCCATAAGCCTCACTTTTTTGTCTTCACCTTAAGGGCGAGCTGCAGCTAGGGCTAGCGCCATCAAAGTTTAGATTGTAGTTTTTGTTGATGCAATCACTTCGCTCTTTAAGTGTGCCCATTTTTATCTGTGTGGATATTTTCGCAAAATTATATGGTTTAGCGGTCCGGCATAATTAATGAACTAATTAATGTAAACCTCACAGTTCATTGTGAACTACTTTACCTTCTAATATGTGGCTGTCAAGAGCCGCCGTTCCAAGCGGCCGAGGCCCGTACCGTAGCGGACGCACCACAGAGAAGCGCGCATGAGCAGAGCAGCCCAGAGCACGACTCAGGCTGGGATCGCGCCACCCACACCCCATTCTTTGTGCACCTGGTAGCCACCGTCAGACAGCCCCCCCCCCCCCGTTTTGTTTATTTCCTCGCGTAGAGGCACGTTTTTGTCCCCATTTTATTCTGGCTTGGTTGCCCCTCCGTCTCTTCGTAACAGTGGAGTCTGGCGGTGGCCGCCAGTGAAAACTCGGCTTTACGTCAGGACGGTAGTCCCTTGGTTAACGTTTTTAATCCTTTGCACGAAAACTACTGCTCACCGAACTAACTGTTAATTTAATTCACTTGTAATTAAAAAAAATATGTGAAAATCACTGAGTCTGCTCGAGAGCTGTTTCCACCGCCAAAACATAAAACGTGATGTCAACAAAGCCGCTCGCAAATGGGCTTCGTTGATTGGCTGAGGGCGTGGCTCAGCCCCACTTACGAGTGCTCGGATTGGCCAAAATTTTTGCCCACGTGCATAACGTAAATGTACCGTTAATCTGTTAACCTTCATCAAAACCATGGGGGTATTATGGGAGGCGAAGCGTTAACTGAAAAAAACATTAACCGATGTCACCGTTAACTATAGGATGACTATACCATAGACTAGTTTTTGCTTGAGCCACGGTCAGATGAGCAGAGCCGCGCCACGTTGGCCCTGCTTGGCAATCGACGTCATGACCTGGGCCAGTAGGACAGCGGTCCTGCGGACAGGGGCTCAGCTGAACTCAGGGCCCACCACAATGGGTAGGGAGCCATCGGGCGTGCTGGGTCACGTCCCTGTGGTGCATGGAGCTGCGGGTAAGGCTCAAGCTGCCCACGTCAACTGCCGGCAGCGGAAAAAAGACACATTTGTTGTGGATGTGTTTGTCAGCGTCCCTGACCAACCTTCCAGGGACAAGGACACCGTCCCAGAAGCATCATCCCTTCAAGGAGAAGAAGAGGACGAGGGCACGGACTTATCGCGAGTCTTGTCTGGAACTCCACTGCATATTCCACGCGGGCAAGGACGTCCTCACCGCAGGAGCAGCAGCAGCAACAGCAACAGCAGGGCAGTTCTGCCCACGGCAGCCACTGAGACCCCGATAGTCTTGACCAGCCAGCTAAGGCTGTTTCCTCAAACTCCACATTTTGCTAGGGCAGTGCTTACCTCGGGAAGACGAGGACGTATTCCCAGAACCGGTCTAACTTTGCGTCGACCAGAAATCCCCCACTGTTGCTGCTGATCTGAGACTACAACATGGTGCAGCGGGAATGTCAGTCTCTGAAGATGATGATGATGATAACGTCGTCGTCCTGGGAATTACTCATCGACATGTCCGCTTGTTCCCACGCGCTTTTTACAGGTCAGAGGTCTGTGTCACACAACCAGCGTTTCGCTACGGAAGTGTCCACTTTCGAAGACAACATCATCATCATCATTGAGGGGGAATGATTAATTCCCAGGAACCCTGGATACAGCTGGATAATGGGTGCTTTCATGTAAGAAGCCGCAAGAGAAGAGCAGAACAGAGGAGATCCACATCGAAAAAGACCGAACACTTGATGTAACTTGTCATCGGCGGAGTCGTCCTTGGATCAGGATTCATCGGACGAGGAGAAAGCATAAAAAATAGATTTTTCCGCAAGATGTCCTGTGCTCGCTGGGATGTAAAATCAGCCGCAAGCTCAAGCACCCAGAACCGTTCCTCTCGAAAAATCTGCGGAAGAATCTGCTGGCAAGGAATCTAAAATCTCTTCCAGTTCCCGAGTGGAAGAGTTTTTGGGCGATACTTGCGCAGACCATGCACAGCCTCGATGGCCGTCGTTATACACAGCACATTGCGGACGCTAAAACATTTCCATCCGTGCCACGTGTGGATGCCGACATGGTAGTGATGGAGCACCCAGACCACCCTGCTCGACGGGAGGAAAGCTCCCAGGCTGTGCTGGAAAGAAAGGCCATTGCACGCCACAGCTTTTGCCATACACATAACAATGTATGTGACGTTCGCAGCCAAGTTCACCGTGGAGTCACAAGAGTCTCAAGCCCATCACATAAGAAGACCCAGGAGTTTCATCAGGGCCTATCTTGACATCCAGGATATAGCCATGTTCTCCCTTTGACGCGGGAAGAGACCTGCTCGACGGTCCATCGCAGATGGTGGCTACCGCCGGTGTGGGCCGAAGTTTATTTGGCAGAAAGGGGACAAAACCGACCCTCAGCTCAAGGAAGGGGTGGTTTTGTGCACTCTACCCTTTGCAAAGGGATAGATCCTCTTCAACAACGAACTGCCTGAACAACTCAAGGCGGACAACAAAAAGAAGGTGTAGGTGTGCAAATCCCATTTCGTCTGCTGTGGCCCTCCGGTCGCCAATCTCGGTTCTAGAGAGGGAAGCCTGCTTCGATGCTAGGCCTACAAGTCTGTTTTTCCGGAGGTAAGGTGAAGGATAAGACAAAATAACCACAGTACCGGGCTGATGCTGCCACATTTGCAGACATGCATCAGCAGCACTGACGGAACCAAGAAGAGCGCACGTCCCGCCCATCTCTTGCGTACATAGGGGGACCACCTAGCCGTATTGATGCCGGCGTGGACACACACGATGACGGAGTCGTGAGTCCGAGCTGTTGTGGGCTACAAGCTTAATTTCAAGTAGGTTACGCTGTTCATTGAGTTCTAGCCTTCACTTCCACCAGAGGTCGATAGTCTTCCCTGGTGGATGAACCAGGGGAATCTGCAGAAGGGCCTCCCACTGCCTGACACTGCCGAATTGTATTCTCTAGACCGATGCGAGTGCGTGGGGGTGGGGAGCACACCTCCAGGGCATACTTCTCCAGGGCGTGTGGCCGAGGCACACAGAGGGGAGCATCAGTCTACCAGAGCTCAGAGCAGTGCATCTCGCACTCCCATCACTTTCAGATCAAGGTCCGTGAGAATCGAATTATCATTCACTGCAATGGCATGACAGAAGTGGTGATGGTCCATCGCCAAGGCTGCCCCAAGCTTTTTCTTTCTAATGATGGAGTTTTGGGATGTATCTCTTGGGCAGAGTCACAGCACCTGTCCCTGAAGGCTTGTCACCTGGCAGGGGTTTGAAAACGTGGTCGCAAAGTGTGTTAATTCGATAGTGGCTTGATCCGGGGAAGAGGGCTCTGCACTCCGAGGTATTCGAGCAGGTGCGATGCCCCGTTCGGACGGTTCACCACAGACCTCTTCACGTCGGAGACCGATCACCATTTTCTACGGTTTTGCACCAGATTATGCTGTCCTCGGGCCTGGTGACAACATTGTGTGGGCCATACAACAGTATGTTGGATGTCCATACTGTTGGATGTCATCTCTGCAAGGCAGAGGATCTGGAGGTCGCCACACTCGTTTG